AATAATTTACATAGATGTGTTGTAAGGCACACAACTGAGCTCATCACATACTCATACTCAATAATTTTCTTTACTTTTTGGGGGAGTGTCAAGGCAGGTTTTCTCTGTGTAACCCTGGCTGTGCCGGAATTAACTCTGTAGATCAGGCGGGACCTTGAACTCACTAAGATCCACCTGACCCTGCCTTGTGAATGCTGGGATTAAAAGTGTATGACTTATTATCTCCTTCTTCTTTCATAAGGTTCCCTGTACTCTGCCTAAAGTTTGGTTATGACTCTCAGCATCTGCTTTGATACACTGCTGGGTAAAGTCTTTCAGAGTCCCTCTGTGGTAGGCTCCTGTCCTGTTTCCTGTTTTCTCACTCTTCCAGTGTCCATCCTGTTTGTCTTTCTGCGTGAGGATTGATCATCTTACCCAGGGACCACCTTCGTGCTTAGCTTCTTTAGGTATACAGATTTTAGTATTTTTATCCCATATTATATGTCTAATATCCACTTATAAGTGAGTATATACTGTGTGTGTCTTTCTGCTTCTGGGATACCTCATTCAGGATGATCTTTTCTAGATCCCACCATTTGCCTGCAAATTTCATGATTTCCTTGTTTTTAATTGCTGAGTAATATTCCACAAATTGTACCACAAATATACCACAAATTCTGTATCCTTTCCTCAGTTGAGGGAGATCTGGGTTGTTTCCAGGTTCTGCTATTATAAATAAAGTTGCTGCAAACATGGTTGAGCAAATGTCTTTGTTGTGTACTTGACCATATTTTGGAGGGGACAGGAGCTCCACAAGGAGAGCAACAGAACCAAAAATTCTGGGCACAGGGGTCTTCTCTGAGACTGATACTCCAACCAAGGATCATTCATGGAGATAACGTAGAACCCCTGCTCAGATGTAGTCCATGGCAGCTCAGTATCCAAGCGAGTGCCCTAGTAAGTTCTCTGACATGAACTCAGTGGCTGGCTCTTTGATCACCTCCCCCTGAAGGGGAAGCAGCCTTACCAGGCCACAGAGGAAGACAATGCAGCAAGTTCTGATGAGACCTATTAGGCTATGGTCAGATGGAAAGGGAGGAGGACCTCCCCTATCAGTGGACTTTGAGCAGGGCATGGGAGGAGATGAAGGAGGGAGGGTGGGATTGGGAGGGAATGAGGGAGGGGACTACAGCTGGAATATAAAGTAAATACACTATAATTAACATTAAAAATATTAAAATTAAAAAAGAAAAAAGTATGTGCCATCACCTCCCTAGTACAATAAATTAATAAATATTAATAATTTAAAAACTAGTAATAAAATAATAAAATATTTTTCTTTTTATACTTTATCATAATGTGATTTGATGACTCCAACTTCATATAACAGAATCTTAAAAGTACCTTAATCAGCTAATTACTAAATTATTTATCAAACTGTTTTACTTTATCGGTTTTAAAGTGTGTGTGTGTGTGTGTGTGTGTGTGTGTGTGTGTGTGTGTGTGTGATATCTAACTTTATTAGCCACTGAACCTGAGGCTTTGAGTATTGTTGGACAGGTGCTCTACCTCTAAACCCCAGCCCCAATAGTGTTAACTAATTGTACCTACTTCACAATTTAATTTCAAGAAAGAACTCATTATTTTTTAAAAAATTATGTTTTATATGAAAATTGTATTCTGTGCATAATGTGTTAGATCCTTGCACTGACTCCTGATTCTACATTTCTATTTAAACATGTTGTGATATATAATTTTTATTAAAATGAAGCCACTTTTCATGAGAACTGATAGACTAAGATCAGAAAGGAGAGGAGAACCTCCCCTATCAGTGGACTTGGGGGAGTGGCATGCATGCAGAAAGGGGAGGGAGGGTGGGATCAGGAGGGGAGGAGGGAGGGACTTATGGGGGGATACAAAATGAATAAAGTGTAATTAATAAAAATTTTTTAAAAAAGAATAAAAAAAATGAAGAGTGATTTTAAAGACTTATGTAATTAAAATATTAGTCATGGAGGCAATTTTGGTAGGCTTAGAAATGTTTTTATATTTTTGAACCATGGAGTAAAAATTTCAATTATTTCAATTTGAAATAAATTTTCAATTTATTTCAAAATCTCCCATTATTGAAGATTTTTTTGTTTCCAACTCAAAATGGACACATGTGAATCATGGATGCTAATTCTTTGAATAGCCACTAGTGACATTTTTTTCTGACTGCAGAGCTTACTCTAAGTCTGAATGTCTGCTAATGCAGGACAGTTTTTTCACAAACACTTGTCAGAAAGAAATTACTGAGACATATCTACAGCTATTTCAGAATTTTCTTGAAAATGAGAATAAAAAGCCCAGTGTACCAATGAGTTAAAGTGCACTGATACATTCACGTATGTTAGGTGTAAATGCAGTTTATGTAAGGAACTTGAATATCCGCTGTAGTCCAGGATCCAATTTCCTACAGATTTCCAATGTTAGGTGGGGACTATATCAGGTATACTTACTGTAGAAACATAAAAGACAACACTTGTCTTGCAATCATTTAACACTAAGTTACAGAATATCTTGTTTTTTTTGTCTACAGAAATTTTGTGTTACTTTAGATATAACATTATTAATTACTTCATGATGTTTACCTAATTAATTCACACATACCACATTTTGCTTTTATTTTTATTTCTTTATGTTTTAAACACTTAAAAAATCAGGATTTCAGTGTGTAACTCTGGTTGGTCTAGAACTCACAGAGCTCCTCCTGCCTCTGCCTCCTGAGTGCTGTGATCAAAGACATGTGCCACTATGACTAGTAGTGTTTTATTTAAATTCTTCTTCCTCCTCCTCCTCTTTTCTTCCTCTTCCCTCCTCTTCCTCCTCCTTCTTCTTCTTATTACTATTACATAGTTAACTCTATCAAGGTTCTGGGTTGCCTTGAGAAGCAAACTTGCATAAAAAAATGAGAATTACCTTATCTTCATCAACCCACTACTATGGCCAACAAATACAACACACCCAAGATCTACTAGAAAGAAAAATACATGTGTAATTATTTCTGTATGTTTACTCAGGAGAGCAAGTGAGCATGCCAGTACATACTTACAATGACTACTTGCAGAATTTAGTTGACTACTTCCAGAAGTTGTTTTTCTCCTATAAACATGAGTTCCAGGTATGGAATTCCTCATCATTAGGTTAACACTGCAAGGTTTTGGGGAGCTGAGGTACCCTTACTGGCCTTGTTTGTTTGATTTTTGAAATCTGGACTGTTGCCCAGATTATCCTGGAATTGAAAATGATACTGCTTGTTCAACCTCCTAAGTGCTAAATGATAGGATTATAATACTTTGCTTTTAGAATAAGCATGAACAGGACTGTAATTTGCAAGGATGTTAAACCAGGTGGTTATGCTAGTCCCTACTCATCATCTTGTAATATCCAGGTTATAAAGTATTATTTTTAAAAAATTATTTATTTATGTTAGGTACATTGGTGTTTTCGCCTGTATGTAGGTGTATGTGTTTGAGCGTGTCAGAACCCCTGGAATTGGAGTTGCAGACAGTTGTGAGCATATGTCATATGGGTGCTGGGAATTGAACCCTCGTGCACTGGAAGAGCATCCAGTGCTCTTAACCACTAACCTATTTCTCCAGCCCCTTTCTTTTTGGTGAAATAGTCAACTTTAAATCCTCGTCAGAATCTTAGTTTTAAATACTGGAGGTTTTAGGAAAAGAAACTTCTGCTAGAGATATCTTGATTCTTCAGAAAAAAAAAATGTAAAGCACATTTAAAAACACATAAAATGATTCTCAAGGTCCACATCACTAAACAGGCTCTTAAAGAAACACACATGGCTCATCTGTTATATTTGCTTGTGTAATTCTTGAAGATGTTTGGATCCCATTTTGGTGAATTTGGGAGTGGTGTCTCTTGTTCTTAGGGGTATGCACGTATGTGTGCGTGTGTGCATGTGTGTTTGTGTGTGTGTGTGTACTCGTGTGTGTGTGTGTGTGAGAGAATAATACTATATAATCATTTTAAATGCTATCACTATTTACTTTTCTTCTAAGAACGCTCATGTTTAAATATTTGAGTATGTGTCTACTAAATATTCAAAATGGTACTTTAAGAAAACAGGCATTGACAACATTGAATGAGTGGATGAACCTTGCAACATTAAGCTAATGCAAAGAAGCCAGTTACAATGACCATGTATTGTGTGATTCTAGTTACATTCAATGTACAAAAAAGGAAAACTAGTCATTGTTAGGCAGGAGAAAATTTGGAGGAAAATAGGGAAATTACAGTTATGGGGAAGGGATTCTTTCTAGGGTTGATGAAAAAGATCCTAAAATAGATTGTGATGGTTATGCAAGTTTGTAAACTGACTAAAATTTACTGAATTATATCATTAAAAAATGAACTGTGTGATATATGAATTATATGTCAGTAAAGCTGGTACGAGAGAGAGTGGAAAGGAGTGAGGTAAAAAGGGTGACGGGAGGGCAGGAGGAGGAGGAGGGGTGCAATTGGGCTGCTTAGATATAAAGAAAACCATAATGAAACAATGACATGATGACAGAAAACAAATAGTACATTTGAAATCACAAGAGAATTAACTCATACAAATCAGAAGGGCCTTTGAAGCAAAATAATCCATTTCTTTATCGGTGTGACATTGCCTTGATCAGTGTGACACTATGACACTGCCCTCATTTGGCAGTTATTGAAAGGACAAATCAATTCAGTTTACCAAAAGTGAGATTTAATATAAATGTTACAACATTATTTTAAATTAAGCAGGGAGCAGAGTTATGAGAGCAAAAGATGACATGTTTCTTTGGTATTTTTAGAACAGTTTTAATTATGACAACTAGTTGAAAGATGTAAATCATAGACCATTTTAAAACGTAATTTGTGTTTATAAAGTTAATTGGATATATGGTATAAATACCCTAAATGTTCTCTAGGAAATGTCAAAGAAGACTTGTGGGGTCAGAATTTTCTCTGGCATCTGGCAACATCTTGGTAACACTTCTGTGTGCTTTTGTTCAATTGTTGGACATAAGTATGAAAGACAGGTGCAAAAATAAATCCTGTATTGCAATCCAGAACCCACTGTTCAGTAGGAGTTTTGACACATACAGAAAGGAATATGATACTTACTCAAAAGGAAATAAACATCTTTTGGTTAATCCACCACCAAGATTGTGCTGGCTGGGTTGTTTACCAAGGTCATGGGATCACCTGGCACAAGGTGCAAGCAGAAGGGAAAGCTGTATACTCAACAGAACATCCATTTTACACACTGAGCAGTACTATGGAAAAATAACTCCCAGTTTGTAGATGAGCTCCCACATGTTTTTAACTAAGGCTAATGAAGTGCTACAAACATTTGCATGTATTGTGCAGCACACATGAGTGCATGTTTACATGTGGGTGCTCATCTGTGTGTGTAAGTCAATGGTCATCCTCTTTGTCCTTGACCACCTTAGTCTTTGAGATAGATAAGAACTCTCACTCTCCCAAGACTCTTCCATTCGACTAGACTACATAGTCAAAGAACTATAAAGTTCTGCTTCTCTCTCTCTCTCTAGCACCAAGATTACAAGTGCCCAGGTTTCTTTTTAAGGTGTACTTCTTTTTTGGTTTTTTAAGACAGGGTTTCATTGTGCAGCACTGGCTGTTCTGGAATTCTCTCTCTGTAGACCAGGCTGGCTTCAAACTTAGAGATCTGCCTGCTTCTGCCTCCCAAGTGCTGGAATTAAAGGCTTGCACTAGCACAGCCAGGGGGAAATACTTTTAAAAATATTTTCAGATTATAATATTGTGCTGTCTAGTTTGTAATGGAAGTTTTAATTTCCTTAAAAACTCAGATACATGAACTCAATGGCAGGCTCTTTGACCTCCCTCCCCCCCAGGGAGGAGCAGCCCTGCTAGGCCACATAGGAGGACTTTGCAGCCAGTTCTGAAGATACCTGATAAACCAGTATCAGATGAAAGGGGAGGGGGGACCTCCCCTAGCATTTGGAAAGGGACAGGGAGGAGATGAGGGAGGTTGGGTGGGATTGGGAGGGAAAGAGGGAGTGGGATATAGCAGGGATACAAAGTTAATAAACTGTAACTAATATTAAAAAATTTAAAAAATTGGAAAAAAAAACTCAGACATGTGTCTCAGCATATGTTTTGATACTCTGCTGGGTAGAATCTTTCAGAAGCCCTCTGTGATAGGCTCCTCTTCTGTTCTCTGTTTTCTCCCTCTTCTGAGACATATGCTGAGACTCACAGCCAAACTTTGGGCAGAGTGCAGGGAATCTTACGAAAGAAGGGGGAGATAGAAAGACCTGGAGGAAACAGGAGCTCCACAAGGAGAGCAACAGAATAAAAAAATCTGGTCACAGGGGTCTTTTCTGAGACGATACTCCAAACAAGGACCATGCATGAAGATAACCTGGAACCCCTGTACCGAAGTAGCCCATGGCAGCTCAGTTTCCAAGAGGGTTCCCAGTAATAGGAACAGGGTCTGTCTCTGACATGAACTCAGTGGCTGACTCTTTGATCACCTCCACCTGAGGGGGGAGCAGCCTTACCAGTTCACAGAGGAAACGATGAACCCAGTCCTGATGAGACCTGATAGACTAGGGTCAGAAGGAAGGGGAGGAGGACTTTCCTTATCATTGCACTGGGGGAGGAGCATAGGAGAAGAAGAAGGAGGGAGGATGTGATTGGGAAAGGATTGGAGAGGGAGCTACAGCTGGGATACAAAGTGAATAAACTGTAATTAATAAAAATTAAAAAAAAATTAAAAACTCAGTCATGCAAACACGTTTTTGTTATAATCCCAAATGTGGGATTTTAGTTTGTCCAGAGCTGTTAATTGCCTAATGCAGGGTTGTGGTCTTTGACAGCTGGAATTAGTTGAATTCTAAGGACTTTGAGGGCTATAAGTATGATAGCCCAAAGGAAAAAAAAATGTGGTGGCTTGGGGAAGATGGATGGAGGACTTCTTGCTGCATTTGCTAATTTCCTGGTTTGCTGTGTTTGCTAGTTTGCTGGTTACCTGGACTTGACGAATGCAATTGGTATTATCCCAAAAGGAATCCTACGACCTTACCCAGCCTGAAGAGGTAAAGAGATCTATGTCCCCATTTCCTTTCCAACCTTGTTTTTCCCCTTTCTGGGGTTGGTGGGTTGGAAGGGAGGTATAAGGTTTAAGGAACCCCTACATAAAGTAGCATTTGAAAAAACTAATGCCTGTGTCCAACATGGGGCGCCACTTGTTGGCGCTACTTTTTAAAACTATTTTATTGGAGTTTCTTATGCCTCTTCCTCTCTTCTCCAGCCCAATCTCTTCCAACACCCCAACAACAGATAGGAGAGAAAAGAAACTTAGTAGGGAGAAAGGAAGTGGTTTTCCTTACCAACTTCCTGCTTGTTAGGGTTTTCGGGTTTCTTGGGGCAAGCCCAGTCTTTGTTTCAGGAGATCTCCAAATTCTAGTCACATTGCATCAACAGCATCCAGGAGCAGCAGGGGAAGCACCAGGAGCCTCCTTCTTCCTTTTAGCCCCCTTTCTCTCTCCGGGCTCTGGCCTTTATTCCTTCTCAGAGTCCTCAGAAGTGAAATGCCTGAAACTGGCAAAGAGCCCCTCTCAGAGCCCGAGGCAAATAGTTTGCTGAATTAGTCCCATATCCTACACCTGTGATCAAAACAAAACACTAATTTCATGTGAACTTGATACAAATTAAAGTCCTTGAGAGGAGGGAACCTCAGTTAAGGAAATACCACTATGACATCCTGTTTTTGTAGGCAAGCCTGTAGGGCATTTTCTTAATTAGTGATTGGTAGGGAGTGCCACTGAGCAGTGGTTCTGAGTTTCATAAAAAAGCTGGCTGAGCAAGGGAGTATGCAGCAACCTTCTGTGGTCTCTGCATCAGCCCCTTCCTCTAGGTTCCTGCCCTGCCTGAGTTCCTCCTCTGGCTTCCTTCGATGATTTGGGTAAGCCAAAACTTTTCCTCCTCAACTTACTTTTTGGCCATGGTGTTTCATCACAGTACTAATAACTCTAACTAAGACAAATATTAAACATAATTTTATTCTTCAAAGGCCTCCCATACCCTTGCTTTCTCAAAAATTCATGGCCTCTTTTTCTTTAATTTGTTGTATAAATTCAACCTGCTAAGTTTGTATAATGTTACTTGTATGCATGTTTTCAAGGTTGACTAATTAGTATTAGCTAACTGCCATGATGGTGTATCAGGAGATTGAAGGTTAGGAAAGGTCAAGAGGGGACTAGGACTATGAGACTATCCTTATCTGCATACTGACTTCTAGGACTGCTGAATGAGACCCTATCTCAAATAAAGAAACAACAACAAAACAAAACAAAAAATCTGGCATAGAAGAAACACCTACAATCTCAGCACTCAAGAGGGAAATAAGGAAGTATTTGTAGTTGAAAACCAACATTGGCTACACACCAAGTTTTTGGCCAGCCTGGGCTACATGGGACTGTTTCAATAAAACAAACTTTAATGAGTTAATCAAACAAATATGAATGCCCTTGCTTTATTATTTATCATTGTCAATACCAAGTCTAGATGTCCATCTACTTTCTTTTCTTTTTCACTTTTAATATGTCAATGTAATTGTACTGGAAAAATTTTCCTGCATAGAAAATGCAAATCACAACCGTTATCATTATTCATTATTAGTGTGTGTCTATATGACAAGCTTCAGCTACATTTTTTAAATATTACCATGTTTAATGGTGACCATTCTTTCACTGCTAGAAACATTATTCCCATTCTCAAGTGAACAAAACAAGGTTTATAGAAATGTTCAGCATGGTGGGTACACACCTGTTATCCCAGAACTTGAAAAGCTGAGGCACGATGAAACATGAGTTTTGGGCTAGCTTAGGCTGTATAGTAAATATGCATAAAAGTGCAGTAAAAGTGCTTGAGACGTAGTTCAGTGGATAAAGAGCTTGCATAGCACGCACAACAAAATGCTAGTTTTGATCACCATCACTGCATAAGCTGGGTATGTAGCACACACGTGGAATCCCTGCACTCAGAACATGGAGGCAGGAGAATAAAAAAGTGTCATACTTGGCTATGTAAAAATTCTAAGGCTATGAACCTGTGAGAAGGCTCAGTGGTTATAGTATGAACCTGTGAGAAGGCTCAGTGGTTATATGTGTTTGTCCTCTAGCTTGACCAGCAGAGTTGGATCCTAGAAACCCACATAGTGGAAGAGAACTGAGCTCTACAAGGTGTCCTTCAGAAACTTGTGTCTATACACATATATAGATATGCAATAAATAAACAAATGTAATAATAGCAATAATAGAAAGTCTAAGGCTAGACTGGTCAACATGAGATCTTATCTCAAAAACAAATGGACAGGGCCTGTGAAATGACTTAGTGACGAAATATAAGTGCATGATACCAAGCTTGATAATGTGAATTCAATCTGTGGAACTCAAATGGCAGAGAGAATGTACAGACTCCTGCAAGTTTTCCTTTGACCTGCAGATTCATGCTGCAGCATGCATGTGCCCTGCACTTCTAGCTCACAAAATGAAGTGCTACTTTAAATAAAGCACAAATTATAACACTGCTTATAATTTCACCTCTCTTCTCAATTCCATGCTCAGGTCTAAATGTTAGGAACCATTCCCCACCTCCATTCAAGTATTAAAAGCTAATCACCAAGGTGTTGGTATAAAAAAACAAAGTATTTGGGAGGTTAATAAATAATAAATGTAAAAATTGTTTTTAAAAATTTAATAAGAACAAGTAGACAAAAAAGCAACAAAATTTCTGGAGGCAGAGGCAGGAGGATTGACAGAAGGCCAACTTGGCTTTCAAAAGATGATCCTTTCTCAAAAAAAGTCAAGCTAAAACAACAAAATAACATGAATGAAGGAACTAAGTAACTTTTCCCAAGGTCAGTTTAGGTAGTGAAACAAGATTTGGGGTGTGCAGAAGGGTTGACTGTGTCTCATTTCTGAGTATATATATCCCATGATTGCAGCCAGAATATGTTATCAGAAGCATTGCTAAACTCCAGTCCTATGAAATAAAGCATAAATAAGACACTGCTTATTACTTCACCTTCTCACTTCCTTGGAAAATTAGTTGGCTCTTAGGCAG